ACCTTGGGGAGGAAATTGGAGGGGAGCTGTTGCATTGTGGTAAACTGTGGTCAATGACATGAGACAAAGTATATGTGAACTGCTGTATCGAGAGTGAATTTGCTCTGTAAATCTTCACCCAAATCTAAATAAAATAAAATTTAAAAAAAAAAATGGAGAGGGGAAATGGGAGACATAAGGAGAAAGAAAAAGAAGAAAAAGAGAAGAGAAAAGGAAGAAAAACAAAAACAAGAAACAAATGTGGCATAGTACTGGCACAAGTGATAGGCATGGATGTGGTAAATATGTGGCACTAGCTCCTTGAGGGCACAAACCATCAAATATATAGGGTCAGGGGCAGCTCTACTGAATGCAGAGGTAGTGAGAGGTAAGGTATTTTTAAAAAAATGAAAAAAGGAAGAAAAATTAAAGAAAAAAATTGTAGGAGAAGTAGGAGAAAAAAAAGGGGAAAAAGCAAAGGGGTAGAGAAGGACTGAGAAGAAAGGAAGAAAGAAAAGAAAAGTGAGAAGGAAAAAAATAATAACCATGAGCAAATGTTAGCTACCAAGCACAGATGCAGCAGAAACATGAAGCTCACTCCAGGAGAGATCATATTGCCATTCACAGAAGTTGGGAGGAAGGTTCTGCTGATCATGGATGTGAGGATAGCAGCAAAAAGAAAGAGAAAAGAAGAAAAAAATAGGGTGACGAGGAAGAAATAAAAGAAAATAAAGCTGATGAAAAGAAGTGGGAGAAGAGGGAAGGACAAAGAGGAAAGAAAAAAGAGTTTTAAAAAAAGAAAGAAAGAAAACAAGCAGTACAGTACTGTCAAAAGTGTCAGCCACAAAACACAGATGTGCAGGAATGCAACACTCTTTCCATCTGGCTGCACACTTCTGATAAGGGAGGGTTAGGGGCAGATACTCCTTTGTGCCCAGTGGGGAAGGACTTCTATAAGCAGAAAGATAAATATATAAATAAAGTAGTCCACCACTAGAAGTGTGAGGAGTTAGACTCACTACATTGTAGGTGAGGGTAGCCAGGGCACATTTCTGGTCACCGGGAGGTTATGCAAGGCAAGGGAGAGAACATACTTTCCTGGTTGCCTGATCACTGATGTGGGTGCTGATGCAGTACTGGGCAAGTGGAACCAGTTATTTGTTTCCTACTCCAATCAAAATACTGCTTGCAATAATTAAAAATGGCCACTCTGCACTGGTTAATAGTTTACTGCTCCTTGTTCACAGTTTTTGTTCACTCTCTTCCTCTTACTAGTATTTTATCAACCTTATCCTTTCTTTTGAAGTCATGGGATCCAGGATTTACATCTGTAGTTGTTTTCCTTTTTTTTTTTTTTTAGTCTTTGTTGTAGAGTCTGGATCAGATATGGTCTGTAGAATGTATCTGCCTTGTCAGCCATCTTGGACCCCAACCTGGTTTAGTCTTTCAATTTGATTTACTACTGATTTAATCTTACTATTTGGTTTGGGAGTTCTGGCATAGCGTCTAAGGCATTTGACTGCTAACCAGAAGACTGGCAGTTCAAATCCATGAGCCACTCCTCGGAAAGATAATTGGGCAATCTACTTCCATAGTGATACCACCTTGGAAACCCAAGGAGGGGTTGCTATGAGTTGGATCTGACTTGAAAGTAGTGATTGAATTATTTGGTTTACTCTTTGTAAGCTCAAGAGCCATTATTTGTAAAAAGATAAAGTAAGTACATTTAATTTTTTGTTCTCACATGTCACAATGTTCTTTCACTTTAACTAATGGTCACTTTAACTAATGGTCACTTTATAATGACTTGAGAGGCACCCTGAAAATTTCTCCTTCCTTTTTGTTTGCTTTCCTACATTTTAAAATTTAAAAAGAGAAAAATCATTCTCTTTATTTAAAAACGCTGAATTGAAACAAGAGCTGAAGAGTTCTGCTTCCTTAATGATAGCACTGAAGCTTCCTCTCCTTGACATTCTTGGTCAAAATATAACTTTAGCTATTCTTTTTTTTATTGCCAGTTTCCAAATTTGACATTCTGTAGCACTGAGACAAGTAGAGGCAAAAGTGGAGGAAAGGGATCAGGATACTTCAAAAGGTCCTGCCAAAGAAGAACTCGTTCCATACATTTTATCTGGATCTGTCATGTTCACATTCTAATTGCCCTACCGTTTCATTCTGGTTAACATGCTGGTCCTGATCTCAAATAGTAGCTCAGATTTTGCTCTACCAACTAGGTTTTTGTAATTCTCAAATATCTCTCCAACTTTGCTGATAAGGAGTCAGCCTTGCTCAGGAGCCAACATGCCTCAAAGAAACACAAATGACATTACTTTTCATACTCTGATTGAATAACAGATTGGGATGTTAAAGTTCCATATTTATTTTGTTCATTGATTTTAGGTATCACTCTATTTTCTTTATCTTTAGGATCTTGTAGCCAGAATATCCTTTTTGAAGCTTCCAAAGAGCCTTGAGTTATTTTCCTTTCATAAGTTATGCCATATAGTTTCCAATTTGGGCATGTATCTAAATCTACCAAGTCCTTTCCTTCTCTGCTGCCATAAAGTTCACAATGATTTTGTAAATTTTCCCTAAGTATCTGATATTGCCTTTTTTCTTCAGGCAACAGTTTCTTTTCTAAATTGCTGTTAACAATACAGATAGCACAACATTTGCAAATTCAATGTTTTTCACTTTCAGTGCAATTAAACCAATTCAATCAATCATGTAGACAACATTTCTTATTGATTATAATTAGATTTTGAGTACCAGATTCTTTCTCATCTCCTCTTTCTCTTAGTAGGTGTAATTGTAGGCAAGAAAAGTAAAGAACTTTTTAGGGAACCCATTTTGAGGTAAATAAGACATGTACAACAAGCCCTCACTTGAATAGTCCCCTTTACTATGTTGTCTTGCTCAAACATTGTGTGAAGAATATATTATGCACTACCTCCTATTAGGTCACAGGAATTTTACCCAATAATATAGAACTTATTTCTCTTTCTACTGTCACCCAGTGGTTTTCCAGCATGTATCCATCCTCAAGTTCATGAACTTTGAGCAGATGCACATTCCCTGATATGCAGCACTACCCTGATACCTCTCCTACATGTCTATCCCTTTGAAATACTGGATATCATTCCATTGCCATATATTAAACTTAAGTTACATTTTAACAAGTCTCAATATTGCTTTACAACAAGATAAAACATTGTTTTTTAATTTCACAGTAACTTTTGGTCTCATATAGATTTTTTTTATGAGAGCACCATACTTATGAATAGGAGCTCTCATATCCTTTATTTTGTGTGTCAATTTGTTATTTAGCTAAATGGTGACCTCAAGTGATAGTTACTCTAAAGCAAAGATGAGCAGATGAGGGCACAGGGAAACCAAAGTACGTGAAATGAAATGAAACAAAAGAATGCAATTAAGGAGAATGTTGACACATTGTGAAAAATGTGATTAATTTCTCTAAACAATTTGTTGTGTAGAAATTGTCAAACCAGACCTAATTTTTTGTGTAAGCTTTCATTAACAGCCCCATAAAATATATATATTTTTAAAAATTCAAGGTAACTTTCCTTGTTAGATATATCCAATTAATTGGAATACACATAACTAATTTTTTTCAATTATTACATTTTCTGGGCAAATAAATACATATTATGAAAATATCTGGCAGAAAGTAGTGCTCAATTACTGCTAGTTATCAATCCTAGCTGGAATGGATATTACTAAGAATTCAACCATCATTTCAGTCTTTTCATATTAGACAGTACTCTGAAATACTGGATCTATGAGGTAATTTTTCTTCTTACCATTTCTTAGTTTAAAAAGCTCCCCATTAGAGAGGAATCATTCTGAATAAATATATTCTTCCTTAATTTTATGATTTTAATTTTATTCCATAGTGAATCCATATCTGAAATGATGGCCTAGAAATCTAGAATTAGTTGCTCACCTCTTGAAGCTTCTTCCTGTCTCTATTTACAGTGAGTAGGAAGTCCAAGTAAATAGTAAGAAGATATGGATCACAACTACCACACTATGCTAAAGTAGCAACATAACTTCTGACTTCCACTTTTCCCAAATGAGTCAACAGCCATGTGTGCCCAGTGGTAGTGTCTTTTCTTTACAATTCACTATTACATTTCATTCTTTCAGTCCAGCTTATGAGTAGGTCTTGCTTCTACTCAGTTGCCTGATATGCTGTCCCATACAGCTGCTTCTTAAAATCTTTCCGATTTAGTGAGTAAATATAGTTCAAATGATGCAGGTATCCTTCCTTCTCTTCTATTTTGTGACATATTCCTGCTTTGTTGTTAATTTATAGTACTCTTTAATTTCCTGATTTCCTTTGAACATCATTTCCCTCTTTCTATCTAGAACCTCTTTTTCTTAGAAAAGGAGAATTTAACGTTCTTCATATTCTTCTTAAATATAAAAACTGGCTTGAATCTGGAGTTACCAAAGTTAAGTACTTATGTATATATGGCAAGAAGATAAAAAAAAAAACATACTCTCTGAAAGTCACTAATAAGTACTTTTAGTTTTCACTTACCTTTCTAAAGAGCTAAATGGTACAGTCAAACTGTCTATTTCATCTGGGTTCTTGTCACCCCTGCCTCCGGAAACTACCATTTGAGCCATTTTTCCATTATCTTAATATTTCTCCTCACAGGCTAAAAATGTGTACAAGTCAAAAATGTGTAACCATGAGTTATAACCAATGAACACCAGAAAACTAAGTGACAGATATGACTGGAATTTTGACTTATTAAATAAACTCTACTTGCTAAGTCTCAAGAAATTAAGAAAATGAAAAAATATTCCTGGCTCTAAAAAAATCAACCATTTAGCATTCTCTGGATCCATACCTGTGTGTGTACTCTTTGGGTAGAATAAATGATAATTCACTTCCAACACTGTTCTCCAAAGTGGCTACTGGTATATGATTATGAATCAATTTGGAGATTTCTTCAACATCACAGTGAGGTTCCTTCACCATGACTATGTGGTATCCTACACCTAAAAAAAGTGATTTAGAACAGCAAATAAAACAATGTTGTACTTTTCATACTTTGTGAGACTACACATAACTTTCTATGGCTTAGGTGAATTAGATGAAGAGATGATACACTACAAATAATTTAGTACAACTCTAAGTACCTTAACAAATACTCCTTTTACAATTTCCTTAGGACTAATAATGATCTGGGTTATAAAACAAGATAAAACAGAGACAGGATAAAAAACTGTTATCTGACCACCTGTCCTACTGACACTGAAATCTGAGAGGATAAGACTAATATTCATTAAGTATATATTTATAGGGGTCCATTATATGCCAAAGGAACTCTGGTGGTGTAGTGGTAAGGTATTTGGCCACTAACCAAAAGGTTGATGATTCAAACCCACCAGCTATTCCATGGGTGGAAGATGAGGCAATCTACTTCCATAAAGAGTTACAGCCTTTGAGGCAGGAAGATGGCATTTTACCTATAGCACATACATTTGTTCCCTCTAGCATCTTAATTTCTGGAAAACTAGGTGTAGCAGTTAGAAGCAGGGATTCTGGAGCTGTGAACAGCCGAGTAAGTAAGAGGGTGCCAGATTCTCTGGAGAGAGAAAAAGAGCAGATCAAACAGCCAGGGAAAATAAACTTGCCCAGCTGGCAGGGAGATGGAGAGGCAGAGAAACAGCAATCATATTAGCAATACAGGGAGAGCCACTGAGAAAAAGGGGAGGGTGCACTATGGAACCAAAAGAGGCTTCGGGGACTTGAAATACCCACACCAGGAGCTTCTGACAGTAACTTTGGGAGCTGAACTGAGTAAGTGGATAAACTTGCTGAGAAACAGATCAGAGACTCCCTTGGGTTGGGCCACTGCTGAGTTCAGAGTGAAGGGGGGAAGGGATGAAACTTGCTCTGGGTAGATGGGCCCTGGAATGAGCTGAAGACTGGGATTCAACTCTTCCACAACAACCTTTTAGCACAGAGTGGACCAGGGTACAGGATTTTTGTGGCTTTTCCGATCCAAGTGGAAAGTAGAAGCCCCCTAACCATTGTGGTCTCTGTTGATTTTGAACCATGGGTCTGTGACTGACAACAAAGCACCATCACTGGAAGCTGTCCCAAGCAGACTCAAAACAAAACCCCAGAGACAGCAGCCACTGCAGAAACACAGAAAGCAGGGACTCACTACTGGTACATTTTTTATTTGTTTCCATTTTCTCTTTTTTTCCCCTGCCTCATCCAATAGAAGAATCACACTTAGCCACCAGAACACCTGCTCATCCCAACTTCAAATCCCCTTCACGATGAATCTCTATTTATTCTACTTGCATCCACATTCCCAATCAACACAAAGAAAACTGGTGAGCAAGCCAGCATATCTGAATTAGTAACCAAAAAAAAAAAAAAAAA